GCATACATTGCAATGAATTGGAACTATATGTTTATTTGATTTTTTTCGAATATTACTTTGGTGTTCCAAAATACGTTCTTTTAACTTCCTGCAGGTCCGCCCTACATATTGTTTACCGCAGGGACACTGCAGGACGTATATTACATTTCGGGTGTCACAGTTTTTATTAGATTTTATACTAAACTCTTTTCCTGTTATGGTACTTTTAAAAATGTTTACATTTAACCCCTTAAGGACACAGCTTCAGAAGCTTGTCTTACGCTTAATGACACAAGCAATTTTTGCATTTTCTTGCTGTATGCGTTCAACTGCAATTTGCATCTCTCTCGTTTATTGCACCGACACATATTATATACTGTTTTTTAAAGGACATAAAGGGCTTTAATTTGATGTAACATATATATATATAAATGCTTATTTATTATTTAAAAAATACAGAAAAATGCAAAAAAAAGAAAAATTTTGTGTTTTTTGTACAGTTTTTGCAATAATAATGTGTGCCTAATTAGTGCAGGTTAAAGAAAGTAATTAAAAATAAATTTATTTAGTTGTTCTGATTTACAAAATATATAATGTGTCTGGGATTTAAAGTTTTTTTTGGTAGTTACAGGTCATAAAGCACAAGGAGTAAAATAAACTTTTAATGTGGAGCGATTTTAGAATTTGGTATGTTTGTCTTGTAAGCTTAATAGCCATAAAAGAAAACAAAATTGCCACACAAAAGTATATATTTATATAAAGTAGACATCACAGGCTATTGTCCTAAGGTTTTTTTGACACTTTCTAAGTAGCCATTTCACCGCCAATCTCTGCTAAATATTGGAGTAAAATTTAGTTTTTGGGAGTTTTTGGCACACAAACTTATAACAAAGAACTTCCCATGTATATTTTGTAAAGTTGGTGTGTGCTATTCCTGTACAAAGTTTTATTTTGTGTTCAGTTACTTCTGCTGAGTACAACGATACCCCCATTGTATGTCTTTGGCACTATTTCGTGAAGCTACAGTGCCATATAGGAGACCTGTCCGTTTCAACATTTACAGTAGAATTTTGAGAGGCGGATTTAATGGGCCTATGCTTCAATTTGGGGTATTATAGCAGTTTGACTGTTCAAAAAAACCCACAAAGGCCTACCATTTATAAAAGTAGACACTCCAGGGTATCTCATATGGTGCATATTGTGCCTTAACATGCCCCCATTTTTTCACCAATATATGCCAAAGTATGTGGTAAAAAATAATTTTGGGCATTTTTTACATACGGATTACATTTTTGCTGGGCATTTTGTACATTTCATATGTGCCACTAAGTTCAAACCCCCCAAATTATGCTCAGCTAAGTCTTCTGAGTAAAACAATATGCCCAATGTATGACCTAGACACTATTTTGTGAAGTTACACTGCTATAAAAGAGACGTAACAAGTTAAGGTTTTTAAGTGTGAATTTTCATGGAGGGTTTTGATGCGTCCGTGCCCACTTTGGAGCACTTGAGCAGGCTACATATTACAACTACACCATAAAGGCATACCATTTCTTAAAGAACACATCCCAGGGTATTTCAAAAGGCATATTTTGAACCTTAGCGTGGGATAATTTTTCCGCTAGCTTGTACCAAGTGTAATGGTAATAAGCGTTTTTTTGCCTTTTTGACACACAAAGTAAATTTGCGCAGTACATTTTGCAAATCTTATGTGTGCTACGACTGTATAATACTTCATATGATGCTCAGCTATGTCGGCTGAGTACATCGATACCCCCGTATGTACCTTTGCCAGGTATATGTGGACATCGGAGGGGCACATTTGGGACACAGCCATTCCAGTTCATTTCAAACTTTAAATTTTTACACTGTTCCCATGTCCCATTTTAGAGTATTTTACCAGGCTATATAATCCAAATACCCCATAAAGCCATACCATTTCTTAAAGAAGACATCCCGGGGTAATTCAAAAGGCATATTTTGAACCTTAGCGTGGGATAATTTTTCCGCTAGCTTGTACCAAGTGTAGTGGTAATAAGCATTTTTTCTGCCTTTTTGACACACAAAGTGAGTTTGCGCAGTATATTTTGCAAACCTTATGTGTACTACGACTGTATACTACTTCATATGTTGCTCAGCTATGTCGGCTGAGTACATCAATACCCCCGTATGTACCTTTGCCAGGTTTATGTGGACATTGAAGGGGCACATTTGAGACACAGCCATTCCATTTTTTTTAAACTTTGAATTTTTACGCTGTGTCCATGTCCCATTTTAGAGTATTTTAAAAGGCTATATAATCCAATTACACCATAAAGGCATACCATTTCTTAAAGAAGACATCCCGGGGTAATTCAAAAGGCCTATTTTGAACCTTAGCGTGGGATAATTTTTCCGCTAGCTTGTACCAAGTGTAGTGGTAATAAGCATTTTTTCTGCCTTTTTGACACACAAAGTGAGTTTGCGCAGTATATTTTGCAAACCTTATGTGTACTACGACTGTATACTACTTCATATGTTGTTCAGCTATGTCGCTGAGTACAGCAATACCCCCGTATGTACCTTTGCCAGGTATATGTGGACATTGAAGGGGCACATTTGAGACACAGCCATTCCAGTTTTTTCCAAACTTTGAATTTTTACGCTGTGTCCATGTCCCATTTTAGAGTATTTTACAAGGCTATATCATCCAATTACACCATAAAGGCATATCATTTCTTAAAGAAGACATCCCAGGGTAATTCAAAAGGCATATTTTGAACCTTAGCGTGGGATAATATTTCCGCTAGCTTGTACCAAGTGTAGTGGTAATGAGCATTTTTAAATGTATTTTTTTACTTTGTAAAACTTTTTTTACTTTGTAAAACCCATTTTTAAACTTTTTTTTTTACTTATTAAATGTTTTACACTATCTTAACTTTTTTTACACTTTTAATTTTTTTTCTAAACTTTTCTTTTACCGTTAACCCCTAACTAGCAGTAAGCAGCACTAACCGTAAATTCCCCATTTTCCCATAACTCCCACCCACCCCAGCTAGCAAAATATTTAATTATAAAATATTTAAATTAATTAATTAAATAAATGGAACCCCTGAGGGTTAAAAAAAATAAATAAAAGTTAATCCTCAGGGGTTAAAAAAATTAGATCACAGTATAATACTGTGATCTGTATTTTGATCACTGTAGGCAGTGATCAGCTGGCAGGGAAGGGGTTAATTTTTATTTAGACTGGGTAAAGGGGGTGGTATTTTTTTTTTTTTTACTTAAACGTTACTAAAACATTTAAAAAAAAATTTTTTTTTACCTTTTTAAAGCTTATTTTAAAACTTTTTTTAACGTTAACCCCTAGTTAGCCTAACACCAAATTCCCCAATTCCCCACTAACTTCCACCCATCCCAGCTAGCTAAATATATAATTTTTTAATATTTAAATTAATTAATAAAATAAATTTAACCCCTGAGGGTTAAAAAAAAAATAATTAACCCTCAGGGGTTAAAAAAAAAAAATCAGATGACATTAAAATGTATACCCTGCCAATTGATCACTGTAGTCAGTGATCAATTGGCAGGGAAGGGGTTAATTTTATTAAAACAGGGGCAGGGGGGGTGGGATTTAACTTTAATTTTTTTTTTTTTTACACAGGGAAGCAGATCAGCACTGATCCGTCTCCCTGCACTTCACACAGAACCCGGAAGTGCAGGGAGGCGGAAGGTGAGTATGTGGAGCACATGTGCTCGCTCTGACATGCTGTCAGAGCGAGCACCGGTGCTGGGGCAGCCCGATCGGGTGCTCCCGGTCTGCCTCTAATGCAGAGGCAGACCAGAGCACCGTTAACCCCGCGATTGCCGCGATCGCGGCGATCTGGGGTTAACTTAAGAAAATGACGGAAATTTTCCGTCAACGGTCCTTAACTGAAGGACAAGGTTGACGGAAAATTTCCGTCCACGGTCGGGAAGGGGTTAATAGTCTCTGAGTTCTACAAGCCTTGCATTTATTGCATGAGTGGAAACCTTTTCTATTTTCTATTGTAATATTTCTATGTGAATTTTTTAAGGCATAACTAGGTGCCAATATATTTTTTAGGTCTCTTGCCTTCCTAAAAATTACTGGTGCCTTTCTTGGGAGTACTTTCCCCAAGATGGGATCCTTCACTAAAATATCCCAATGTTTATTTAAAAATGTTTTAATCTCATAGTGCTGTGCATTAAATTGAGTGATAAATTAATATTTGTAATCTTCCTTTTGTAAAAAATGGCCTTGACACGAATTGGGGGGGGCAAATTTAGATTTTGGGGGTGCTCGAATTTAGTCGTGCCTAGGGCAGCACAAATCCAAAATACACCACTGGTTTCTCCGCGCTACATGCAGTGACAACAGGAGCGGACACTGTGCCCCCTAATTCTCCTATAGGTCGCCCCAGCTCTGTGTAGGTACCCAGACCATTTCATCTCACTGAAGTGGTTTGGGTGCAGTTGTCTTTAACACTGCAATGTAAAACATTACAGTTTTCGAGAAACTACAATGCTTATATTGCAGGGTTAAGACCACCTCTTCTAGACAGCCACTATAGGCATTTCCTGCTCCTTAATTTAATTTACTCTATGAAACGCTTTGCATAAGGACATCTAATGTCTTCAGATGTATTCCTAATGCTATAGTTTTTTTCTTTTTTGGGGGGGTGTGCAGGGGCAGGGCTGTTCTCTGACATTTTTTGGTGACTTACCAATAGCAATTTATGCTAGTAAACTCTCATTTTGAACAAGTACAATGTATCTTAGTTACAAATACTTTTTTTTTTTTCTAAACAAATCTACTGTAGGTTAAAGACGATACAAGAAGGACATATGGATTTAAGCCCAAAATAGTTACTGTCCCTCCTAAATAGGAACTTTTGGAAGGCATGCCTTCACGGTGACATTTTAAACAGAGGCATGCAAAGCAATCAGCTTGACTGCACAGTCTGTCTACAGCAGAATAAAAAAAACAAGAACAACCACATGGTTTAAGCCAAATGGGCTGTCTCAACTACACTCCCCCTTAATGCCCTGTTCAGTCGCGGTACAATGACGTCGGGCTTGCGTAGAGCAATTTAAATAACAAGTGTCCCACACACATTTCTGTCTGTTATTATCCTTTCCAGCCCAGCTCTCCTTATCCGCTCAGACAGCCATGGCCCTTGCTGGACCCCTGAAAGTGTGCATCGTGGGCTCGGGAAACTGGTAGGCTGAGCTGAGAACTGCTATAGATACAATGACATTAGAAAGGACAATGGCAGCATCAATTAATGCTGTGATTTAAATGCTAATGCCCTCTCTGTACAGGCATTTATTTAACCATTTGTGTCCCGGAGCTTTCCTGGGCCATGTGGTGTGTTAATATTTAGAATGTATGGTTTGATAGTTTAGAATCCTGCGCTGCCCTTGATTCCCCTGATACAATGTTTCAGGATAAAGTGTCAAAATTCTATTTAAATGCATGGCTCTTAACCTACTCTTTGCCAAAGTTGCCTTAAACCATTTGCAACTGTATTTGCATTTATAACAAGAAATTAAAAAACAAACAAAAAAAAAACCCCTTTCCTTCGCATTCGTATGATTTGATATAATGCATTGAGGTTATGATTGCAATAAAATGAATTTGGCCATATTATAAAAATCTTAATAACCCCCTTTAGATCTGAATTCGACTTTTTTTCCTTCTCCACATGCAGCATATTACAAAATACTTCTTTTTAATCTTGTGTAAATTTTATGGGTAATTTCAAATTACAATCTTGCCAAACTGCTCTAAATTATGAAAGTACCTGTTTATTTCACCATGGATATGTTTTGGTTCCAGGAAAAAAAATAGCCGTGTCCTGAAAATATTATCCTGTGACTGCCATGATATATTATATGTTTGTTTAGGAATTCAAGTGTGTTTCAAATTTTAGGCTAAAGTAGCAAAAATTATAATTATAGCCAACTTGGGGAAGTTTTCCAATTTGACCCTAAGTGATTCTACTTAATTGTTTATGGGATGTGGTATTTAAAAAAAATAAATAATAATAATAATAATAAAAAAATTGAAAGCTCATACTTTAGTGAATAAAGTTGAAATTATTTTACTGGCTGCATATGTAACAGCTTTTATAAAGTTCACAGTTCTGAAGGGATTATAATGGATGTATAATTTGTGGTAGCAATGTTAATAAGAAACATGGCTCCATGGAAAATCTTTTGTAAGTTTCCTATATTTCTGATTGCTTTATAATGTACGTGACTCCACGGTTTCTTGCAGAATTCTATCTTTGCCTTGTGTATGAAGTCCATTTTAACCTCTTATGGACACAACTTCTGGAATAAAAGGGAATCATGACGGAATATATCAGTCATGTGTCCTTAAGGGGTTAAAGCATATTTAACAGTGACTTGATGCCTCTTTTTGTAATATATTTGACAGTATACAATTGTAATCTATATGCCAAACTGATGGAACATGTAAGGATATCTCCTGCATAATAGAAAAGGACTACCAATATAGGGTTGAGAGCAATTGTTGAAGCAGAGCTCCCAGGTGACACAGTATCAGACCACTCTGGTAGCCCCCCACACATTGGGCATCATGGAATATTTGAGGTGAAGTAGCTGCATGGGTACTGTGCTATGTGTTTAGAAACAGTATATCAGATATTTCCCTGGTGAGTAGAAAGTGCTTGACTTGACATTTTAAAATGAACATTCCATGTATATGAAGTAATTCAGATTGAGTTTCTAGTCTGTCATAATTTTGACAGTTTATCAAAATGACATCCCCGTCTCCCCAATAGAAATGGGCACTTTTGAGGCAAAACCACCTTCATTACTGTCAATCTTTCTTCCGCTTCCATTAGTTGAGCTCCTTCCACTTTCTCAATGGGCTCATTTTGAAAGCAAAGGAGAGCAGGGAATCAACTATAATTGGAGTATTCTCCAGCGCAGACTGAAATTTCAGGTCTGCAGCTTTTGCAAACTTTTGTGGGTTTTTTTTGTGTTTAATTTTTTTTTTTTGTGTTTTATTTTTATTTTTATTTTTTTGTCACACCCCACCTCCCCACATTTACTTTGAAGAAAGCAGAGACAAAAAATACATGCATGCTTACTTTGGGAGTATATCTACTAAGTTTAAAAAAAATCAAGTGTTCCTTTTTTTTTTTTTTAGCAAAGTCCTGATTGTGCTATCCTCTATATACAATATATATTAACAATTGTGTTAAATACAGAACACTTCCAAAATACTTTTGGTATACCTTGTTGCTATAGCTTCAGCACATAGTGAAATATTTCAGGAAGAAATGTACTCAAAATTTTGTTACGTAGAGTAACTTCAAGCAGGCCTCAACATAATATCAGCATTTCAGTTGTCTTGGTAAGAGCCTCGCTTGAACGTGTTTGATGTCTGTTCGAAGTTAATAAAGGAGAAGTTATTCTTTGTAACAGATCCTCAGTGTACTTTTCAAAAAATGAATATAAATGTGTGGAAGTGCATACAAGGATTGGCAAAAGTAGTGTTTTTTTGTTTTGTTTTTTTTAAATTAATTTTATGCCATTTCACACAGAATACACAGCTTATATAAAGCTATCAAATATATATCTCAGTGTGTGTGTATGTAACATGTATAAAAGACCTAACATTTTAAGTCCTCTGCTACTAGCCAGGCCATAGCATACACACCAGTAGCAGCAGCAGGCAGTTTAAAAAGTTGGTGGCGCCAGTTAAAAGATGCTGCCAAGTGTTTGTTAGCCCGTATTATCAAGCTCTTTGCTGGTTGGGCCTATTTAGTAGTGCGGTACACTGGCAACTACTCCATAAGAACTTGTTAAAATGCAAGAGAGACAAAATTCTGGTCCCCGGTTGACATTTCTGGATCCCCTTGGCACCTGGGATTTGTCATCCCTGGTTTGTATACATATGTGTGTGTGCTATTTTATTTCGGAAACTTTTTTTAGGCCGGTGGCTTAAAAAAAACCCACAAAAAACATTTAAATGTATTTATTATAATATAATAATGATCGCTATCCATTAACATTGGCAAGAATGTCTGCCTGAAAAAAAATTGGAATGCTCTTGCTTATCTTTCAGTTGTATTGCCACTATGATCTAATTTACTTTGTTCAAATACAAACTCCATGTCCTTCAGTTTATTTTCTACACTAGTAACAATGAACAGTTTGCTTAGAATAGAAGAAATACGATGAAATGGCATTTCTAAGAAATTCTCATCCATGTAACAAAATGTTAGTTAATTTCTTTTCACGGTAGTTTCAAAAGCATATTGTGCTTTTATTTTAGTTTAAATTTTTTTTTTTTTTTTTAAGGAAAACTACAGTGCCAAGAAAACAACAGTTTAGATACCTCTTCTGTCACTTGTCCAATGTTGGTTCAGGCACTGCCCCCTCTCCTTGTATAATGCTTTCCTATGGGGTTTTGGGTGGCGCTGTATGTCATTATACATAGCTTGAGGAAGTCCCAGCACATGAGTTAGACGACCAAAAGTCGCCTAACCACCTGGAAGTCCCTCTAGTGCAGGGGTAGGCAACCTACGTCACTCGAGGTGCCTCTGCACGGCACTCAAGGCTGCTAGAGCCAAACAGGCTCTGGCCTATCAGGAGTCCCAGTATCTGCTAATACGAAGAGGTGATGAAGGACAATCCTCAATTTATGCATTGAAGCACATAGAGGAAGTGATCTCAGAGCACTTCATTCCAGCACTTGTGAATGGGACTCCACACAGTAGTAGAGCAGCCCGCAGTTGTTGTTGCAGCTCCTGTCCTTGACCTGTACCTGGCCGGCCTGTTCCCCACTGGAACCCAGGGCAGCCACCCACACTGCTAGATACACAGAAATGTAGAAAGACCCTTCCCTCATACAAATAATACAGACAGCCCACACACAAACATGCACAAACATACACACAATCTGCACAAACGCAACACCACTAACAATCCACATACATGCACACAACCCCACATGCAGCCTCTCACATGCTATACCCCAAACAGCCCCCACACATACACACACTACCAAACACACAATGTGACATATCCATCCACACACACACAATTCCACAAGATGCCCCCATATACAACCCACATTCATATGTATCATAAACGATACCACAATCTACTCATGAACATATACAATATAATAGCTCATATACGCACAAATACAATGATACAAAGCAATTACAGTATAAATAACACAAGCAGAATACGGCAGCACACACACCTCAATTTAAAAAAAAAATTAAAAAAATAGGGCCGGCACGCTACGGGACATCACAATCCTATATCGGCACAGTGCTGCTAAAAGGTTGCCTACCCCTGCTCTAGTGGCTCTCTGGTAAACACTGCACTCAGCCACTAGAGGTGAAGTTAGCCCTCCAAGGCAATTATGGCATTTTATCAAAAACTGCAATAATTGCCATTGCAAGGTTAAGGGACCTGGGACACTGCCAGAGACCACTTCACAGAGCTGAAGTGGTCTGGGTGCCTATAGTGTCCCTTTTAGTGTGTTGAATATACTGCAACATGACATTTGCTGATATAGCCTTTCGTCATAAAATAAAGGATAATTCACAAAAAATTGAATTGTAACAAAATCTGTTAAAGTTTATGACAAAATGTCTGATCAGGAAAAAGAATCTTCAACTACTCAATAGCCACAGTTTAGCTATTCCAACCTAAATTTTGTAATTTGTTTGATACAATTTGTATTTTAGTGAATATTCCCCATAGTATTATAGGATTGGGGGTGGAGAGTAAAATTCTTGACATTATTTCAAAGGAAGGTAGAAAACTAAATGTTGAGGAATTACTAGTGGTAGTGATGTATTTCCATTGATACTTTTGTACCAATTTCTAACTTACTACCAGCAATCTCAGCCAGTCTGTCCTGCCCATGTTGGACAAAATTGCCACTGGAAATGTTTGTGTTTGTTCCGCATTATTAATACAGCCAAGATGGGAACAATCCCTGTGTGTTGGTTAAAGCGTCAGTTTATACCAAAATATTCCTAAACGGTTTCATATGAAACCAAAGTATGGCACCAGGAACTCCAAGAAGAATCACCACTACAGTGAAATCTAGTTTTTCTGTTGCCTACAGGCTTAAGACTCCAATGGAAGTCTTAATACAGCACTGTATTACCTGCTCACCACAGCAAACGTGTGTGTGCTTGGAACCCCTACATTAATTTTTTTTTTTTTTTTTTAATATATTTTTTTTTAATGTAGATAAAATAAGTCGGTGCTCTTTCTTCCCCTCCCCCCACCCTGATAGACATCTAAATTCTAATGTTAAATTTGTTTTTTTACACACATAGGGGATCTGCTGTAGCCAAGATTATTGGAAATAATGTTAGAAATCTACAGAAATTTGCACCCACTGTCAACATGTGGGTGTTTGAAGAAATGGTCAATGGAAGGAAGCTTACTGAAATCATCAATACGGACCATGAAAATGTGAAATACCTCCCTGGATACAAGCTGCCAGAGAATGTGGTAAGAACCCCCAAGCTTCCATTTCCAGGGACTTGACTTTACATTGTGCCAGCCGATTAACCCATAAATGTGCTTAGGTTTTAGATCAGTGCTAAAATGAATAGCATATGTGTCATGAAAAAGCATAAAGTTGGTTACGATATTCAAGCACACAATACTCTTAAGGAGTAATTAAACGCTTCAAACTGTTTTTTTTTTTTTGTTTTTTTTTGCCTCTTTTGGATCAACATCAAAAACAGATGCACATGAACTTGATGGAAGCACATCTCATTTTAGCCTATATAACTATGTACATAAGAGCATGAGCAAAGCGCTGCACATTTATTTATTTAGGGATACAAACTGCATGTGTAATTGCAAGGAAAAATTGTCACATGAAAATGAGAGTACAACGCACACTCCAATATAAGCTGCTAGCATAGAGGGGAACACCTGTAGATTACAACGACTTACCAGATCCATATTGAAATCTAGATAAATGCCATAAGTTAAATGCAGTCCAGGACGTGATCAACCAACCCCCAGTCTAGGTGCATCTATCAATCTACTGAGCCCCCCCTCAACAATCCGAGAGCAGCCAAGACCGTATTCAAGCATCACCTGTTGTCTGCTAACCTGGTTGGTCCAATTTAGACCGCACAAAGCTGTCTTCAGGATAGTACTTTTGAATTTGTGTGTGTCAATAATATTGATGCTCCCACTAGGACCCTAGAGATGAGGTACATAGCAGGGCCTAATGTTCAAATCAGGAACAAAAGTCAGTGACCTTGCCGGGAAGCCTTTAGAATTGAGATTTGAGTTGGAGTCCAGTCATTATATGTGGTGGCTCTACTGTTAATCCTTGACCAGAAATGATCATAAGATGCAGAGGTATTGTCTCTGAAAGGGTAAACTACCCCATGGTCTTCCACTGTCAATAATACAGACTTGCTTATTTTATTTTGTTTTTCATTTTATTCCAATAAACTGCATGACAGAACACAATTTTAAATTTTAAAAGCCAAAGTGTTTTGCAAGCATAATGTATAGATAAAACATTTGCCTTTTGTGTAATGATACGTTTTCCATTATAGTGCCTCTTTAAACATGCCTTGAATTGTAACAACATGTGCACATTAAACTGAATGCACGCCTCTCTTGTGGAAGTAAATTGTAATATTAACATTTACAAATCCTTTTAAAAAGCTACTCTACAAGTTTACTACGTGCTCACTGGAAGTCAGAGGCGTGGCGCTTCAGGAAATGTTTGGTATTCTTCACCAGAACTGAAAGGGTATATTAGCTAGATCATTTTCCCCACCCCCCCAATGTACTTTAATTTGTCTAAATTCCTGAGATGGCTCAAAACTGGTTCTTTAATGGACACTTTGAGCTCTGTAACCATACAGATTATTGTTGTGATTATTGCATGGAAACTGCTGATCTCTTCCTCTAGGTTTTGTCACAATGTTGCTCAAGCAGTTTTCCAGAAACTGGAAGTTCCCTTGGCACCCAAAGCCACATCAAATCACTGTTAACCCTTTTTGTTGAGGTTAAATTGAGGTAGGCTCTTTGAATATGAAACCGTTTTACAAAAATTAGAAGGATTGCACTGGTATCCTTCTAGTGCCTTTTTACGTTGTAGCGGCTACAATGCTTACAAAGCCCTTCTAAGTTCAACAATCAAAACCTGCTCTATTATATTTCTGTTTGCCAAACAAAAAGATTTCATTTTATTTTTATTTCTCCTTCATTTCCTTTACTCAAATGTGCTGGAAATGAACAAACTAGGGAGAAATTAGAATCTCATGTTCGGTATGTGATAATGGCTGAAGATCCATTAATGATAACAATTCCACAATACCGTTGGTTTGCAATATCACTTTTACGGTTATTGGGTTAGTGAAAATGGGCTTTATAACTGATGTCAAATACTCAAAGTTTCTACAACCACAGTCCTACCAAAATGCTATTATTGTATTAGTATTAATAATTCAGAAGTGTTGGCACATGAGCAGAAAGAACACCAATCCTGATTTGACATGTGTAATCAATGTTAACTAATAGACTTGTGTACAAATGTGTTTTCAGCTGATCTGAACAAATCAAAAATTCCTTTTAAACTACACCTGAACCAATCGATCCTTCGAGGCTTTACCTGTGTAGTCTTACGCTTTTTTATTTTCCTTTTTTTATTATTCTTTTTTTTAATTTTTTCCTTCTCTTTCTTTAGCTCCTGGCTCTTCATCTGCCGGAGGCCACAACGTATTTAACTAAATAAAACCCAACTCTTTGTAAATATTGCATCTCTTATACATGTATGCAATGTCTGAGTTTATACCAGTAGCATGACTTCAAATCATGTGGCTTGTATCCATGTGATCGCATGCCAAACAAAACTTTACAGGGCTTGTTCACTAAACCAGAATCGTGGAGAATTGTCAAGCCAAAAAAATAAATCTTATTACCTTGTCAAATCTCCACATTTCCTATTTTACAAATATATTCCGCATGTGTTTGCTGGAGTTTTGAGTATGTAAACTAACACCATGTTTAAAGTGCAGGGGAGCGTTTTCCAGTGAGAACTAATCCATTAAGACTATATTTTATGAAATCTCTTGCAAAAGTTGTATTATGTCTTAAAGCTTATTTAAGTGCCAGCAGCACCCTGGCTATTTTAATGACTTTTCTCTGTACTCCTGTTGTTCAGACATCAGACCTTGAAAATTGTTTTAACACCTTTTTAACACGCTGCCATATGTCACTTGATTTCCAGGTTGCCGTTCCGAGTCTCACTGATGCGGTGAAAGATGCTGACCTTCTAGTATTCGTCATTCCTCACCAGTTTATAAATAAAATCTGCCAGGAGATAGCCGGGAAGGTGCACAAGGAAGCTCTTGGGATAACACTAATAAAGGTGCGAGTAATCCTTCATTTCACACTGGATAAAATTAATTTGCTGTGACAGAGAAGATCTTCATAATGTGTCTTGCGCAACTTCTATTTTGAGATGGGTAGGATATTTAATAAAGTATTGCAAAATGGTATGATGATTAAAACTTTTTTATTTTATTTATTTATTTTGCACCCGCCTTAACTCAGGATTACGTTTTGTAAAAGTATGAGGCTTGTGCAAATATTTCTCATCTGTTCATTGTCCAAAACAATAAATACATTCCTGGCAATCGTTGTTGAGTGAATAACTTTCGAATATTCAGTCATATCATTCATTTTATGACAGAAATGAATCCATAAATAGCTTAACTTTGTTCGTAATATTCAGAATTGATTAGCTCAACAATTGCCAAGAATTTTTATTTTTATTTGGACGATAAACAAATATTTGCACAAGTCTAATGTGGGTGTGTGTATATATTAATATATATAGGCAGGCTGACGGAACTCTAGTTCAGCAGACCATGCCTAGTATAGGCCCACTGTTCTGGCTCTCCCCCCAATACTACTCCTCGGCAGTGATGGGAGGAAGTGATATCACATCTTTTCACTAACTCCCAGTAATCTAAGAATGCAGCGCAGACGGCATTAAAGGACCACTCTAGGCACCCAGACCACTTCAGCTTAATGAAGTGGTCTGGGTGCCTGGTCCAGCTAGGGTTAACCCATTTTTAAATAAACATAGCAGTTTCTCTGAAACTGCTATGGTTACTAATGGGTTAAGCCTTCCCCCTATTCCCTCTAGTGGCTGTCTCATTGACAGCCACTAGAGGCGCTTGCGTGCTTCTCACTGTGATTTTCACAGTGAGAGCACGCCAGCGTCCATAGGAAAGCATTGCATGCGCATTCAGCCGGCGGGGCGTAACGGAGGAGGAGAGGAGGCAGAGAGCTCTCCGCCCAGCGCTGGAAAAAGGTAATTTTAAACCCCTTTCCCCCTTCCAGAGCCGGGCGGGAGGGGGTCCCTGAGGGTTCGGGCACCCTCAGGGCACTATAGTGCCAGGAAAACGAGTATGTTTTCCTGGCACTATAGTGGTCCTTTAACTGAACACACAGCATTGAGCGATCTCCTCTGGACTGCATTAACCCACCTTCCTGCGGTGATATAGTAAGCCATGAGGAGGGCGGCTAAAGATGGCATGCACATAAATATTATTTATAATTAATGTTTTATTTATTTTTGTGTGGGTATCTGCACAAGTCTTTAAGTGTGTGTTTTAATCTGTGTAAGTGGTGAATCTGTGGGTCTGGCCCTTACAAAGAAAAGAGCGAGGGATGCAGATAGTCCGAGAAACAGTGACAAACGTTTTTGTGTAATCAGAAATGCAAAGAATTCATTATTTATTATACACACACAGTATACTGCTCTCTGCCTGCCAGGAGCAGAACCAGCTCCCATGGCCTTCCAGGGGCCACAGGACACCTAGGGGTGTGAGCCTGTGAAATGAAACCTGTTTGTGTATGAACGGTATACATGGATAATGTCTGCTCGTGATGATATGTGGCACGGCATGCAGAGATTGGGTATTTTATAGTGCAGCTATTGAATGGACAGATGACCGGGTGAATATTTGGTAGCCCTGCTACTTCATAGGAGAAGGGCAGTGTAACCTTTATCAAGAAATGCTCTGAAAGCAATTCACAACGGCGTCTAAGCAACCTTGGCAGGTGAAGAGCCACCGGTGAATATGCATAACATTCTTCTACAGCCCATGGACATCTTAGGACGACTTTCCAAGAATCCGGGGTGGGTGTGGAAAGCACAAGCCAGAAGAAGCAGGATCGTGGGGAGTGGGGGTATTTTTACGTGCTTTTTCTAGATGCTGAATGAGACCACTAGAGGTTTTGAACGAGACAGTTGTCTCAAAGTGTTGCATGTTCCTTTAATAATGTCATACATTATTCTATGCAATGAAAGGTTTTTATATTGACAGTGTATTGTAGTATGTGAGTGTGTATTTAGAAAGTGTTTTACCAGGATGAAAACATTGAGATTTCTCTCATCCTGTGATACACAAGCAATGCAGTTTTGTTATACATTTAACATTTTGCAAACCCTATATAATAGTATCAGTTGTTAGTTTTTGATCGAAATATATGTTGAGACATAAAGCTCTCTATGTTGAAGCTCATGAAAGATTTAATGTTTTCTGGAAAGTTATTCCCCGGTATCTGACCTCTTTATTAGAAGGCTGCACAACTGATTATCATAACCAAGAATAGGGCATATAGTATTGCAAGGGGATCTTGGGTTACAGGGGCTGTAGAGAGCAGGGCTGAGCAGATTTTCTTGGTGTGGGAGTTTACCAGAATACGATGTATTCTTGACTCAAATGTTGGCTCTTCTAAATTATGTATGTTTTTTGCTCATTATCAGCTACTCTATGTAGTGCTCATAGACACACAGAAAAAGTTAGGTATTATTATTTTGCTGAAATGAAGTCACCGAGTTGCTTATAGCTTAGACAAGCAAAGTATAGGTGATACATTTAGAGCTATGTGTTCTGCTCATATCAGATCTGTGATAGGAGTATCTTCCAATAACTGCTTACTTTTCTGCAAATTTTTAAATAATACAAGAAATCCTCTTATCACCCTTTCCCCCAAAACTCCCATGTACACCCCCCCCCCCCACACACACACACACACACACACACACCATCCCTTACACAAAATGTATCCAACACAAATGCACACAATGCATCCCTTGCGCACACTACATCCCCTTACGCATTACATCATCTATACAAACACACAAAACATCCCCTACACAAGTACACTCAGCCTTGTGGGTGGAATCCTAAATCATAAGGGCCCCCATAAGTTCTGTTAGCATCCCTGCTGACACACTACCTAAATGTAATAATATAAACATACATGTTAATGTCTAGTCAATTTTTTTTTCCCACTATACTTATTTTCAGTGTGTATATGTGTGTGTGTGTGTGTGTGTGTGTGTGTGTATATGTATATATATGTGTGTATATATATATATATATATATATATATATATATATATATATATATATATATATATATATATATATATATATATATATATATTTATTTATTTATTTATTATACCGGCACTCCAAGGATTTTCAATACGACATCTTTATTCTGAGAAATACATCAACGTTTCAGCTCCCCTAAGGAGCTTTCATCAGGAGTGTCCTGATGAAAGCTCCTTAGGGGAGCTGTAACGTTGATGTATTTCTCAGAATAAAGAAGATGTCGTATTGAAAATCCTTGGAGTGCCGGTATGTTTTTTTCATTTTATATTATTGAGCAACCAGAGCACCGGGTATTTAAAAAAAATGTTTTGGTTGGAGTGCTCTCACTACTGCATGGGATTCTGGGTAGGCATATGCAAATGAGCTCAACAAAGAACCACTTTTTTGCCTCATAATTCCACTTTATATATGGATTCCTTGGAGTATGTGTCTGCTGTATACAACAGCTCTGAAACACAACTCCGGAAGAGGAGCAAAGGCAGTGAACCACTCATGGACAGCTGTTTTGTTAATGCAACTCGTGTGTGTGTGTGTGTGTATATATATATATATATATATATATATATATAGACATTATGCAGCTGGATATTTTTTTTCTAATCTCTGCTGTTTTAATGTATTTATTGTGTCTTCTGTTTATTTTATCGTTCTGGTTGTTCTCCACCACTCTGTACCTTTCACTCCCAGGCCTATCTTCTGTGATTTATGACCCTACATTCAACCTTTTCCCATCTCTAACAGCATCAGTGGTGTTAAGTGTTAAACTCCTTTCCTATTGATCAGTATTTCTTCAGACCTGAGAGAGTAGAAAACTCCCGAAAGCTTGTATTGCAAATATTATGTTTAGTCCAATTAAAAAAAAAAAAAAAAATGTACTTGTATTCTGCTGTACACTGGCTTATTCATATTGGTCCAGAAGACAAGATGCCAAATATCCAATCTAATGATCTATGTATGATACAGTGCTCGCTTATTCTGTCACACTCATTAAATACATGTTTAGGTTTGGAATCAACCTAGAGTAAGTAGTGAACTAATTTAAAAAAATTAAAAAATGTAAAAAAATAAATAAAATCCTCTTGGTAGTTCCATGTACGTTTGCCGCCATTATATAAATAAAGTACATGGAACAACCAAGAGGATACAAAGAGGACTGTGTGTGTATATGCTGAAATGCTGAGGTGGCATTACATGTATGCACTTGCATTTGTAAAGTAAGTGTCCATTATAATCTCACAAGAACCATTTCTATTTCCTTTCAGGGTATAGATGAAGGACCAGAAGGGCTCAAGTTGATTTCTGACATTATCCGTGAAAAGATGGGAATTGATGTCAGTGTGCTGATGGGAGCAAACATTGCAAATGAGGTTGCTGCTGAGAAATTTTGCGAGACCACAATAGGTAAACTATCTTCTGAAAGGACCCCCATTACCTTTCATGATAAACCCACTGTCCCCCTCCTCTCCCCCCCCCCCAGTCATGGCAAACCGGTTTCAATAATCTAGCTATCTTTTATGTTTATTGGGAATATGTAAATTTAAGAGAAGACGATTTATAACGGACAAGAACATAGACGTAAATTATATTGTGCAGTGTGCGCTGTGTTTGCGTGAGGGTGCTGTGAGTGTCAGGAATGCAGTGTACTTGTTTGTGACTGAGGGTGCTGTGAGTGTCGGGTGCTTTGTGTGTGTGTGCGCTGTGTCTGAGTGATGAGTGCTGTCTTTGAATGAGGGTGCTGTGAGTGTCAGGGATGCAGTGAGGGTGCTGTGAGTGTCAGGTGTGCAGTGTGAGTGAAGGTGATGTGAGTGTCAGGTGTGCAGTGTTAGTGTGTGTATGATTATATCCCCCCCCCCCCTTCCTTCTTACCTTTAGCCTGGGAGGGGGGGGATCATGCTGCTGCTGCCATCCCTGGTGGTGCTAGTGGTGACTGAACTGGCGGAAAGAATGGCAGAGGAGATCCTGTGATGGTGTGCCCGATGGCCAGTCTGGGCCTGGATATAGGTCTTTTAAAGGAACTCTATAGCCATCCAGACCACTTCATCTCCTTCAAGTCGTTTAAGTACACTGTCACTGTCTCCTTAGCCCTGAGCTGCAAGCATTTACATTTCAGAGAAACAAGGATTTCACATCTGCCTGGATGTTTGCATGCAGTGTGAATGTTCTTGTACTACTAGAACGAGAAATATTTTGGTATATTTCACCGCTTAGCAGAAAGCTGCTATCATTCAAGAGGTTAGTTCAGCTCAGGAATGTAAGGATCTCTGCTTTTTTTTGCCTGCCTAATAAAGGATGTCCGTAACCATTAAACCCGGTAGTTTTAAAAACATTGTTCTGACTGAAAAATTAAGCTCCAGGAGGCTTGGAAGAGATATTTAATATGACAGATCAAATTTAATGAGCACAATGTAGATGCTCCCATTAGCACTAATTCTACTTTTTCATGGCACAAACTCAAAATTGGCATACAATAACCATTGTCTGTTCACCATCTCTTGCAATATTTGTATTGTGTTGTGCATCTTAAAGGTTAAAGGTTACTTTTCTCTATATTTAATCTGAAATGTATGTGGTGTTTTTTTTGTTTGTTTGTTTGTTTTTTTTGGGGGGGGAGGGGTGGTTTGTGTGACAAGCTTACACTTGGCTTACTCTGTTATTCTTTAAAGTTGTGTAAATACAATCCACTCAACATTTTTCTCCAAGGAACATTCTGCACTATTACAGCTTCCCTGTTACAAAAAAAAAATATATATTTTTTTAAATTTGAAATTGAAATTTACAGTAGCATTAAACTATATATCATCTAGCCAACTGAATAAATAGGCTTTTATATCAAATCACTGTAGGTGTTCTAAAGCTCGAGGCATAGGCAACATTTTTGTCACATTTAATTTCTTTCTATAAAGTTTTTTTTTTTTTTTTTTTAACATCTTGAGATGCGACAAATAGAAGACATAATGTTCTAGAGATCCAATTTCATGCTTTGAAGATCAGGTAATAACGTGTCACCTATTAAATGTACTTGGTTTATTAATATGTGTGTGTTATGATGGTCATTAAAAACCTCTCTTGATGGCTGCTGTATTGGAAAGTACAGTCTTCCGGCTCTTTCCCCACCCCCAAATCTCCTGAGGCATGTACAATGTTTCTGCATTACAAAGTAATGCATGGAACTTGAATTCTGGTTACAAATGTACCTCTAGTTTAAAAGACTTCCTTAAAATCAGGGGTGGGGGAGAGTATGCACTAACGGTTGCTGTCTTGTTTGCTTTTATTGAAATATGATAAAAGTATGTATGTGTGTGTGTGTGTGTGTGTGTGGGGAGGGGGTCTTTATATTTGAAAGAAACCTTTCATGTATTGTATGTGTGTATATATATTTAAATTTATCCTGTACGCTATTTAAATATTGGTGTTTAGGTATCTTTTGGTGTTAAACTTGTCCACGAAGATGGTTTGCCAGAGATAAGATGTATAATTCTTACATTTACTTCTATCAGGCACGCGAATCCTGGATAATGGCCTTCTGTTTAAAGAACTCCTGCAGACTCCAAATTTCCGTATAACTGTGGTGGATGATGCCGATACTGTGGAACTCTGTGGGGCTTTGAAGGTAAAGACTGGTACTTTTTGTAATGCCATTGGTGAATCAGGGCTTCATGTACACACGACGTATTGTGGATGGCTAACTGTTGAAGATCCAGTTGTTGAACAACTTCCAAGGATGTAGAGTTTGACCTGCATGTTTGACACACAATATTATTCAAAAGTATAAATTATGGGCTTGTCTAAGATTCACTGGACTTGTAGTGTCTTAAAAAACATAGAGCTGCATGTTGGTTATTACTGAGACTAGAGGTGCAAGTTTCATACACCTAGTAGCTTTCTAATAACCCTTGACGTGCTTAGTGACATGTAGGTTACTACTATTTATATGCTAGAATAAAACAAATTCCAGTAAGTGAATATGTCCTTCATATACAGGGCCGGCATCAGGGGGAAGTGCTATATCCACATTAATGTTTTATTCAGTGGTGTAATTTTCAAGGACATGACCTTTTTTTACCTTCACTACTGAGAAAGTTGTGCTCCACAGATTTAAAGCAACACTATAGTGTTGTGAATACAAAGCTGTGTTACTAACACTATATGAACCCTCTGCCCCCTCCTCATCCCTGCCTGGCAGCAAAGAAAGGGTTAAAAGCCTTGTTTTCACTTACCTGATTCCAGCGCTGATGTCCCTTGGCACTGGGTCAGGCTCAGTCTCCGCCAACGTCACAGAGATTCGGGAACCTAATGCACATGCGTCCGAGCGTCAAACTCCTTGAAACTGCAGGAAGCGCCTCCAGTGGGTATCTGGTAGAGGCAGTCTTAACCAGGCCTGTATTTACCAGAAGGCAAACAAGGCATTTGCCTGGGGCAGCAAAAAACGCCTCCCCAAGCGCCCAGGCAAATGCCGAAATTCCTTGTTTGCCTCATGTCCTGGGCAGCCCAAGAGCTGGCTGGCTGGCCACCTAAGGTCCCCCCCCAAGGTATTAAACTTCTAATAATTTAACCGGGCAACAAGGGAGCGCTATCATCTGCTCTTCTTGCTCAGCTCTCTCGAGCACCCTTCTGTGATGCCGGTAGCAGGAATATGACGTCACTCTGGCACCAGCATTACTAAGCGGTGCGCAAAGGAGCTGAGCAAGAAGAGCTCAGTTTCTTCAACGTCTCTATTGAGCGCCTGCAGCCCCAGCCCAGCCTAGCCCAGCCAGCAACCCCATCATAGCCTGCAGAGCCAGCCCAGCCAGGAGCCCCAGCAGAGACAGCAAGGAGGCGACACAGCCAGCCCATCAGCGGTCAGGGACAGCATCCACCTCAGCTCTCCCAAAAGTAGGGAGGCTAGATGGATTTGAATGGAAAAAAAATATTAATAATTGGTGAGTGTATGGGAATGCGTGTGTGTCCGTGAATGTTTGTGTCTCTGTGAGTTTGTGTCTGTCACTGGGAGTGTCATCGTGAGTAAGTTTGTGTATGTCTGTGAGTGCATGTGGCTGTCATTGTGTGTGTGTGTCTGTCTCTCTGTCAGTTTGTCAAATCAATGAGGGTGTGCATCTGTCAGTGTATGTATCTGAGAGTTTGTGTCTTTCCGTGAGTGGGTGTATCAGTGTGTCTGTCAAAGTGTGTGTGTAGGTTAAACTGTGTGTGTGTGTGCCAATGACTGTGTATCTGTGAGTGAGTGTATGTCAGTGCATGTATCAATGAGGGTGTGTGTCTGTCAGTCAAAAAAGTTGCCCTGACACAAATTGCTGGGGCAAATTTAGCTTAGGGGTGCCCAAATTTAGTCATGCCTAGGGCAGCGCTGTTCCAAAATACACCACTGGCCTTAACTCTGCAATGTATAGGTGCCTCTAGTGTCCACTTAAAGATGCATTCCAGGCATGTATCATCTGATAGTATGATACAAAAGCCCAACTCCTCAACTCGCCATGAAAAATACACCCAATCTCTGTCCGTTCACTTGCATAAGTGGTTTGTGTAGTATGGTGTTTGTTTGTGTTTTGGGGTGGGGTTTGAGAGGGGTTACACACCTAACACCACTTACTGTTATTATTATGAACTCTCTGGTTTTTAGGTCACTTTAAAAGAAGGGATATTCATAATGGAATATCTCTCAAAAATACATAAACCTTAAACTTGCATATGCAGATCACAAAAACACCCCTTTAAAGTATTATTTCCCCCTTTTAAAAAAATTTTTTTGACAAGTGCTGGAGATCTTCTGTGTTCTACATTGTTCACACTTCTTAATGCTGTATAATCTCATATCCATTTGTATGGTGCACATATAGATAAGAAAAATCCATGTGCTTGTTATTGGCACTTGATAACTGACACTGTGTATTCAGGCTTAGTAGAGTGATCTGATGTTCCCTGTATAAATAAATATGAAGCACTCTTTTTTAAGAGACAGGCAATCTGGTTTGTTTTTAGCAGAATATTTTGCATTGATTTATTGTTACAATTTTCAGATGTTTGCTACGTGCACAGACTGTTAATGCAATCAGTGTTTACACTGCTGAGCAGTCGATGAGTCTTGTTTACTGAATAAGCGACTGCAGAATATTTGCCTTGGTCAGATGTAGCCTTCATTAATAAAAGAGAGGCTAGATACACTGCGGCAGACATGCAACCCTGTCATTTCTACACGTTGCTGTGATAATAGAATACTCACAAAGCTCCATCTGCCCTGATTGGGGAAAAAAGAATAATATTGTTTTGTATTCTGCAAAGGATTACTGACCATTACATTTTCAGATGTGTACATGTTTTAACCCCCCCCCCCCCAACAAACTTACATTTACCCAGTAACTAAAATAGCCTTTCTCTATAGAAAAGAAACTGTGAGATTTTGTTGTGAGGAGATCCCATCACACACAGTGATATCTCTGCTCTATGGCTCACTGATTCAGAGCAGTTGTCCCTTACCCCCTTCCTTTTTATGGTTAAGTGACATTTACAAAGTCTGAGTTTGACAAGATCATAGGGCTGACTAATAATGGTCCAGGGATCCGAAAACACACGTTTTGATACAAACTCTTGAGCCACTGGAACTACATTACAGATGTAATAGAGATGGTTCCCGATACAACCAGACATCTGTTGGCACCGTGGGGGAGGAGGGGACAATCTGCTCCATATTTCGAGATTTGATGAGCCAAACTCTCTTCTCTTGTACAACAATGACACTTCCCAGCAGATGTATAAAAGATCTTTTGTGCCTAGTCTCATGAACCCCCTCAAAGGAACTGATGCCAATGTTTTGGAAGCAATCAATACCACAATCTTTGTGGGTGGCCCTGGTCGAGCAAGCTAGGCATATGGATACAGGAGGCCTGCGGGAGATGGAGTTTTTGTCCTCGGCAGACACAGGCATATTCACAACTGGCAGAAAAATGTTGATGGGGGGCACAATAGCATATCTAGCAAGAGACCATGTACTAGAGGCCAGTGTGGCCACACTTCTTCGGGATGGGGGTTGCCACCTTTCCCAATGTCCACTCTATTTCTTCTTTTTCTTTCCTATTGCTAATTTTCTTCTAAAATACCGATACCTGACCTTTGGCTTGTCTCCCATTTATGAATCTGTGCTGCCTGACCCGATCTAGTGCCTGGCTCACCTCGCTTTTGCCTCTTCATTACCTGTACTTTGCTTCGTACATTCTAAGTTGGTTACTGTGACAACTGTTTAGCCTGCAGGCACAAGCTGTACATACCATAACCACTACATTAAGCTGTAAAGTGGCTCTTGAGAGGAATATCAAAAATGGAGCTATCCTTTGTTCCTTGCCAATTACACAAAATGTACCACAGCAAAACCTGTTGCAGCTATTATGCTGACTGAAATGGACCAAATCGCCCACCTCGTCTAATACCATGAAAAAGATATGAGATAGGGTGGCTTAATTACCTTTTTATGTCCAATATAGGCTTCGGGCCAACAGGAACTAAAGAGGGGGCCTAATCCAGTTCCCAGAATGTCTGTCCAGACGTACTGCAGGTAGCAGTAAGTAGCAACGGCAGTCCCAATCCCTTCAGGAAAGCAAGAGCTTTCACTGCATGATCCATGTTCAGTACCACACTATTACATTCCTCATCGATAAGCAATATTGTTGTCATAAAGAAGCTTGATGACTTGACTTAAAGAGCTCCTCCATTACAATGGTAAAAGGTTAATTTCCTTACTTCCAACGTATAAGAGGGTGAACTACTAGCTATCTTCAAAATGGCAGACTTATCTCTCATTTGGGATAACTGGGCAATTCCATCACAGGGGCCTTTTGACATCCCAAGAGGGTTTGAAATTTGGAAGAGCCCTTCCACTGGGACATTAGCAGTAAATTTACACGGCAGCATAGTGATCAATAGGTGATTAATGTAAGATAGGTTTGCCAGTATCATTAGATGCCTCTTATTTTAATACATTTGCAATGCCTGCCATCCACCTGGGCTGCTATTCTAGATGAAACAGGGCAATATTTGTTCTTGTGAGAGATTAAAATCCTTTGCTTATTTTTCTATGGTGGTGTGTTGGCCTCCAACGCTGTGCAGTTCATTCTATCAAAATGTTGAATTATATGTACGAGAAACTGTGGAAAGTGTGGTAACATGGCTTACCTTCCTCTCAACAATTTAGAGAGAGTGATGCTGTAGCATATTTCTCCATGTGGGGATATTGGCCTTCCTTTTGCTTTGCTAAATACTGTATCAGTGATTAGCTTCCCTTCCACCGAGACAGCTGTGCTGTATTTCCTTTTTACTTATACATTCTCTTTTATCATCATGTTATCCTACTTGGATATGTTCTTGTATTCATGCATAAAAATCACAATGAATATATCACTAACACTTATTAAATGCCCTTAAGTTGTGCTGGTTCCTGGAGCATTCATTTTAATCTATTTGTTTTTTAGTTATATTTTTTTTTTTTTAGCGGTCTGTTTATCTCGCTGCTTCCTGTGCTATAACTTGTTATAACATTGCCTTTTGTTAATGTTAGAATGCATTAGATTGTAATGCAGCACAAGCGAATCACATATCGCATGTATGTCTGATTTTAGTAATCCAAGCCAATTATCCCTTCATTCCTGTGCCTATTTTACGCAACGTGCAAAGTTTAGCCTTTTAATGCATAAAGTGCACACTAAATGTATGTTGTTTTATGAACATACATTACTTAAGTGAACTGTCTGCCACTCTTACCTTTTAAAAAAACTAGGTAACAACATACAATCTGAAATGCTATTTTTTTGCACTTACTTTGTTCTATAGATACTCATTATTTAAAGGGCATTTTTGTGACTTGTAGCTGTGCTCTGAACACTCAAATTATGTTTGCTTCATTTAAATGCAGCTTATGTCTGTCTTTGCTTACCTCCTGTTTTTGATGCACTCAAAGATTGCATGGTTTTTCTTCCTCCTCTATTTGCATTGAACAACTCCACCTTATGCGAAAATACTATTTCCTAATCAAACATGGCAGCATTTACTTATGGGTTAGCTCCTCCCCTTCAGAGCATAAAGGACAGGAAACAGAACTCTGAAATTGGTATAAATAGATCCACCCATCCCCATCAGGCAGTTTTTTTTTTTGTTTTTTTTTTCTGTTCTTCAAAGCAGTTTGGAAGGAGTCTGCTTAAGCAGGCCTAGATTATTGTAAGTTTTATGCTCAACAGGCCAATATTTTTTTATTTATTTTTTTAGGCCCTGCCAGGGTTCAGCCTTTAATCCGTGAAGATTCACCAAACAGCACAGATGTAAGAGTAGCCGATTGGGTACCACTTTTAGTGACCTAACTCTCTCTCTCCCTGAGGGAATGAAAGTGGTCCACTTGATACACTCTTTCCCTGATTACCCAATAAACCGCACTTCCATGAGGTGATCACCATGTCCGAGGTCTATTTTTAAACCTTCCCCCACTGGTGATGATTAATTGCATATGGAAGCCTATAGTTTAAACCGTTTAGGCCAAGCATGTCAAACTCAAAGGCTAACACAGGCCAAATAAACAAGGTTTAAGTTTATGTAGGTCGCAAAACAACCCAAAAATTTCAGTTTTCATAATAACGTTGGTTTATTTAGAAAAGTACAGTTAGAAAAAGCTACCTAACTGACACTGGACGTCTTCACACTCGTAGTGCTTCAAAGTAAATAAAAGAGCAAATTTATTTTAAGGAGGTGTGCATTTGCATATAACCAATGTTTCGGTCCAACTACCTTGACATATTAAGAAAAGTTTGGAATGGTGAATGTACGTTGTTGCACAGCTGTAAGAAAACAAATTATGGTATCTTGTTTATTTTGAAGTCCTATGAGTGTGTTCTTCACTTTGGTTGAGATGATCAAACTTGATCATCTCAGCCAATCCAATGCTTTGGAAGGTTATTGTGCATGTGTGGCAAAAAGCTGCGCGGCATATCAGCATCTTCATGCGGAGCATTCAGTAATTAGTACATTAGTAATTTAGATTAAAGATTAGTATAAGTACCTGGGTTTCATCCCAGTTGCTTACATTGTGCTTCCTTCTAACAAACTGGTCACATTCAGGAGGTTTTTGGTAAGGAGGAACTTTGTCTCTGTTTCTCCTCCACTTCACTTTCTGAAACTCAAGGCAAAGTCCTAGAGTCAATCCCAACAGCTGTCACAAGTGAAGGTTGCAAGGAATTGGCTGTATCTATGGAGGATCCTTCGGTCTTGCTTTTTAACCCTTTAAAGTTAAGCAGATTTGCTGCATGAAAAAAAAAATCCAACCTCTGTCCACATTTTTGTAGTTCTCTTTTTTAACTCCTGCTTCGAAAAAGCCTTCTTTTAAGCAACTCCAATATTCTAATTCTTCTTCCTTCTATAACAAGTCTGCTTTTTAAACCTGGAACTATAATGCACTGCCTGGGAAAAGTAATCTACCCACCCCATAGCATAGTAAATATTAAAAACCAATTTGCTGCATCTTCTTTCATTGTGGATTTATTAAAGGTTGTATGTTCAAGCTTGTCCTCATTAACTGTTGAAGCTTGTTAATATATTTTTTTTTATGGTCCTTTTAAATGTACGCTGTCAATAAACATTCAAACAGACACTCTATAAAACATTAAAACTGAAAAGGTAATTATTCTCCAGACACTGAACACAACTTCTGTATTTTTGGACTATGGGAAGTACATATGAACAGCTCAAGACAGTAATTTTATATTATACATCAGAGATCTTTGTGATTTCTGATTAAGTGGAAAGTACCCATTTTTTTTCAACTGAATTTCATATTGATTTAGTAATGTCTCTGGTTAAAATTGATTTTGATATGCCCATATTGTCATTTTTAAAGTCTGTTTTTTTTTTAATTCTATATTGATATGATCTTATCTGAGCGTTTATTTTCAAAAGTGTCCTTCACAAACCTGTGTATTTAAAGTGAACCTGTCATGGATAACCCAAATTATCTTGTAATGAAAGGGCATAAGTCACCCGTACACTTTGCTAGAAAAATTTCTTCAGATACACCAGATTGTGCTCATTGATTCATTTCCCCGGGCTTTGCACCCCTGTTTCTTATTTTCAACAGTTGCCCCAGATATATATATTTTTTTTCAAACATTTCCCGAGAAGGCTTCCTCATATCCATGGTGTCCTGCAATAGCTGTCACTTATGAGAGCTACATTTTGGGGAATTCAGGCAAAAAAACACACAATATTTAGTCTTTGTCAGGTTGCTGGGTTATTAGCCACTAAAGCTTCATGTATCACTGTTTTGAGAAGTAAGGGGAGGATTCCTAGAGGCCACAAACCTCCTTACTAAACATGAAATCCAGGGTTCACCTAACCTAGGGAAACTAGGAAAGATAAATTACTAACAAAAAGCACCAATAACACACCACAGTGTATCACACTACAAAGATGTACTTAAAATGACCTAATCGGCAGGATTCCTTATGGTACTGGTGAATATCTAAGGAAAAGTATATGAAAAGCTCATAGTGTTGGGGACACTTACTATAGACACTTCTTGTTTGTTTGTTTGTTTTTTACAGTAGGAAGGATAGTACACAACAAACTGGGGACTGAATGTCCTTATATAGTGGGATTAAAGTCGCAGTACTATTATTATGTACCTAATCCAAACAGTGTTTTTTTTTTTTTTTTCTAAAAATAATCCAAATAAAACCTTGAAAGCTAGATGGTGTTTACAGATGTGGAATACATTTCTCTATATTGGCTGATACTTTGATGTTGTTTGTTCCTTCAGCAAAGTGTAGCAATTTGATTTATGCGTTTGAGGAGGGGAAAAACAGTATATTATTTTTTCTTTTGATCAAGAGAGCTATGTGGATGATTGACCTCTTTCTACTCGCCTTTTATTTTACTTCTTTTGTAAACATATCTTCCTCTCCTCGAGCTAAACATCAATGTTGTGTTTTTGTTAAGGATAACATGCCATTCTTCCAGGGGAACGGGGACATTATAGTAAATGCATACTGCTTATACATAGTGTTCGATTATTCCAGTGTACAATGAGGTATACAATCTTCGTAGCCACTGTCAACCTTTGTGCGACATCTAATTGAATTTCCATCAATGCTTGATCTTTTGCTCTTTCTATACAGAACATAGTGGCTGTCGGTGCTGGGTTCTGTGATGGTCTGAATTGTGGAGACAATACTAAGGCTGCAGTTATCCGTCTTGGTCTTATGGAGATGATTGCTTTTGCCAAAGTCTTCTGTAAGGGCCAAGTATCTACATCCACATTCTTGGAGAGCTGCGGCGTTGCCGATCTCATCACTACTTGCTACGGAGGGCGTAATCGAAAAGTGTCTGAGGCCTTTGTCAAAACCGGGAAGGTATGTTTTTATGATCTATACCAAATTTAATTAATTAATACTACCAAAGAAATACAATATAGAGAAAATCACACTGTTTATTTTGAGTCAAGCCACAAATTAAAATATAGAATTTTTGTTTGTAAAATCCTTTTATCGTGACAGCAGTACTGCAGTATTTGGAGGGAAAAAGAATACAATGACAATTGTGTAGCCCTATGAAGTATCAAAAAGTACATTAATATGAGATACATTGACATGGTTTGTCATCCTAGCTAACTCTCTAAATAAATAAATGACTTACCAGCCTTTGCTTCTGAACTGAACCAAAGAGACACATAAAGTTCTATAATTCCTGTGTTGTTCTCCGTGAGACAAACTGTGCGATGCTGAAATATTTTTGGGGCAGGATAACTGCTAGAACTCACCATATATGTAGTCTTGTGGTAGGGGAGGCTTTTAGAATTAAGATGTTTTAAACTATGCGTTTGCTAGTTTAAATATACACTGCTCAAAAAAATAAATAAAGGGAACACTTAAACAACACAGTGTAACTCCAAGTCAATCACACTTCTGTGAAATCAAACTGTCCACTTAGGAAGCAACACTTAGTGACAATCAATTTCACATACTGTTGTGCAAATGGGATAGACAACAGGTAGAAATTATAGGCAATTAGCAAGACACCCACAATAAAGGAGTGGTTCTGTAGGTGGTGACCACAGATCACTTCTCAGTTCCTATGCTTCCTGGCTGATGTTTTGGTCACTTTTGAATGCTGGTGGTGCTTTCACTCTAGTGGTAGCATGAGACTGAGTCTACAACCCACACAAGTGGCTCAGGTAGTGCAGCTTATCCAGGATGGCACATCAATGCGAGCTGTGGCAAGAAGGTTTGCTGTGTCCAGAGCATGGAGGCGCTACCAGGAGACAGGCCAATACATCAGGAGACGTGGAGGAGGCCGTAGGAGGGCAACAACCCAGCAGCAGAACCGTTACCTCTGCCTTTGTGCAAGGAGGAACAGGAGGAGCCCTGCAAAATGACCTCCAGCAAGCCACAAATGCGCATGTGTCTGCTCAAACGGTCAGAAACAGACTCCATGAGGGTGGTATGAGGGCCCAACGTCCACAGGTGGGGGTTGTGCTTACAGCCCAACACCGTGCAGGACGTTTGGCATTTGCCAGAGAACACCAAGATTGTCAAATTCGCCACTGGCGCCCTGTGCTCTTCACAGATGAAAGCAGGTTCACACTGAGCACATGTGACAGAGTCTGGAGACGCCGTGGAGAACGTTCTGCTGCCTGCAACATCCTCCAGCATGACCGGTTTGGCAGTGGGTCAGTAATGGTGTGGGGTGGCATTTCTTTTGGGGGCCGCACTGCCCTCCATGTGCTCGTCAGTGGTAGCCTGACTGCCATTAGGTAACGAGATGAGAACTTCAGACCACTTGTGAGACCATATACTGGTGCGGTTGGCCCTGGGTTCCTCACAATGCTAGACCTCGTGTGGCTGGAGTGTGTCAGCAGTTCCTGCAAGACGAAGGCATTGATGCTATGGACTGGCCCGCCCATTCCCCAGACCTGAATCCAATTTAGCACATCCGGGACATCATGTCTCGCTCCATCCACCAACGTCACGTTGCACCACAGACTATCCAGGAGTTGGCAGATGCTTTAGTCCAGGTCTGGGAGGAGATCCCTCAGGAGACCATCCGCCACCTCATCAGGAGCATGCACAGGCATCGTAGGGAGGTCATACAGGCACGTGGAGGCCACACACACTACTGAGCCTCATTTTGACTTGTTTTAAGGACATTACATCAAAGTTGGATCAGCCTGTAGTGTGTTTTTCCATTTTAATTTTGAGTGTGACTCCAATTCCAGACCTCCATGGGTTGAAAAATCTGATTTCCATTTTTTTATTTTTGTGTGACTTTGTTGTCAGCACATTCAACTATGTAAAGAACAAAGTATTTCAGAATAATAATTAATTCATTCAGATCTAGGATGTGTTATTTTTGTGTTCCCTTTATTTTTTTGAGCAGTGTATATAGGTTTGTACTGTATATGGCACTTGTCTGAAATTGTAGTGCTTTTCTTCATAGTCGTACTTCACTCAAGAATTACCAAACCCTGCAGCTTACCATAGCCTTGAAATCCGCACTTGCTGAATGACCCATTTCAAAACTTTTTTATTTTTTTTTTATTTGTTTTTTAATAGCCATTCCTTTCAACAACTTGGACAGTTGTCCTAACTAAAGTTGCTTATATAATAAAGAGGGCCCAGTGTACTCCAAATAATAAAAAGTAATACTTTAGTTTATATTGATATTCCCTATTATTAGTAGTGGTAGTATTTATATAGCGCCAACTTATTCCACAAGCATTACAATATTATGGAAAGGAGAAATTTAACAATAAGAGGGACAATTACAAAATGATACAGGAACAAAAGGTAGATGAGGGCACTGCTCAGTCAAGTTTACTGTTCTCAGCAGTCCAATATCTTGAGAAGCCAGGCTAGGAAAAACTTTCAAGCATGTCAACTAAATCAAAACTTAAAGATAACATTTTGTCTGAGGAGCCTTTATCAAGGAGAACTGCTGCCCCCTTGGTCATGTTTTCTGGAGTAGAAAATGCTGTGGAATGAAGATTCAACACCACCACCACTTTTATGAACCCCTTGAAAATAGTTTTGGTTAGAAACTCTCTACATATCGCAGTTCTGGTGTTTTACTTTGTTATCTCTTTGTGTAATATTCTCTGAACATCTTTCTTTCTGTTCTGTCAAATATTGAAAAACTTTTTAGTTCATGTCTATTTCTCCCATGTAGTCTGTTAGTTTGGTTTCAGGTCCATTTTAATTTTTTATTTTTCTTGTTTTTGGGGTGTCTAGAGTATTGCAGAACTGGAAAAGGAAATGCTTAATGGGCAGAAACTTCAGGGACCTCAGACCTCTGCAGAAGTTTATCGCATCCTGCAACAGAAAGCCATGGTTGATAAGTAAGTGTTAGTCCTTTGTCTCAGGAAGCCTATGTCTAAGGATGTCTTGGTTTACTGAAAGCAAGTCTATATAGAATAAGATTTCTATACTAAGGCCTACCTAGAGTGAAATGATAAAAACATTATTAAGAGAAAGAAGGCAAAACTCCAATTTAAAGCAAATACAAAATGTTACTTCATTTTAGCATATCATTTATTTTAAAAATATATATTTTTATTAGGGTGTCCGTAGCATCATCACGAAGTAAAAATTAAAGACTTGTAGGTCCCATAATAAGTCTTAAGAGGAAACAAAACATAGGGAAAAAAACAACGGTGCAGTATAGTCTTAACTTCAAGGATGAATCCATTACACCAAGAATGCTCACCTTATAAAGAGCCCAATGAACAGATCTGAGCCAATTCTATATAGGCTCTACCATATGTGAATGTAACATAACACCATTTTGTATATTCATCACTTTTTTTTTCTATTCTTTATTTTAATTCTGCAAGTGGTTGACATACATGCTTGGTACGCCACGACAGCTGTATCAAGCTGAATAAAAACAGCCAAAATATATCTGTAGCAGGGCATATGTAAAAACCTTTTTTATATTGGAATTACAGGCTAGGAATGGTAGCGTGTTAATAGATGTCAGTAGGCAAGTAAAATATGTTGGTGTAGTAAGCAGGCTAAACTGACTGGATTAGCAATAATAATCTGTTAACAGACAGGAATGTACACGGCTACATATTCACAAGCAGTATAGGAGGATAGATTTGTGTGAAAGATGTAGAGTGTGAAACAGAGTATATAGTACGTAGTATGTTAATCTGTGACGTGTGAGAGTTACTGCCTGAGTGGTATGTACGTTAAGAGAGTTAGCACAATGCTATGCTTGTCTATCTAGGGTGAGCATGCTAAACCTAACCTATAAATAAATGAAAATGGGCTGGAAGACAGTAGCGAGCGTTGGGCAACGTGGGACAGGGTGTGGCCTGCAGACGAGCCTTCTTTTTTCCCGGCTTCTTTGGTCTGGGAGCTGATCAAGTGCTTTGTGGCCTGCCAGCATCGTGGCACAGACGGCTGGGAGGCGAGGTCCGCCACTTGTCTGTCTTCTACCGCTTTTCCCTTCGTCATAGATGTGTTCCAAATATGAACACAGCAGAAACGCGACGCAAGGACGCGTTCTGACGTCAAAAAAAGGAGACGGAAGTCGGCAAAAGACACCGGGTGATATGACTTGAAGGCCATTAAATCCTTATAAAAGACCGGACAACTAAGAAGATCACAAGCAACTGAGGAAGCCTATGAGAAAGGCAAAAGGCGTCTTGCAGTACCAGAAACGGACTTTACCTCTATTTTATTTGTTTGATTTATTTGTTTTAAATAAAGTATTTCTTGCACTCTACTTGGCGTCCAGTGGATCTGTAAGGTGGACCGGAGGACCTGAAACCAACGGTGCACAAGAAGGGAGTGGGATCCCCACTAATATTCCAACATGCCTACGTATTAAACCTAAATTATACTGGCTCCATTCTTGAGAGTACAAGATCACAGATTTCCTTAACTCATATTTTTATATTTGACAATATTGCACTAGGATTTGGTTATCCCTTTTTGTCTTTTCAGTTCAAACTGCTACATATTCCTGTATTATTCAAACCATTTACCTAAGAACCTAGAAACTCCGCCTATTGTTTGTATGTATGTATGTATGTATGTATGCATAGGTTTTACATTTCATGTGGTTAGGGAGGATACCACACAGGTGTTTAGTTTGTTGGGATTCTTTCAGTTATACACCAGGACTCTGTGTATATTTTTTGTTACATTAGTTTTATCAAAACTTTGGCTAAAGCTATGGATTTTATTCAGTTATAGTCCTGAAGTGTAGATCCTGGAAGGACAGCCACTACCAAGTGTCTCTATGCAACAACTTTTTAGAAGGTACAGTACGGTCCTACAGGACCAGCTTGCCACTCATCATTTTGCAACATTCCTAAAATAATAAAGTCTTACCCTGTGCTTGTCTTGCAGGTTTCCACTTTTTACTGCTGTGTATCGAATCTGTTATGAAGGAATACCTGTGGAAGAATTCATTTCCTGTCTACAGAGCCACCCAGAACATATGTAGAACTATATATCGGCGGGCCTTCCTGTAATGTCATTGTGTCCTGAGACCATGCAAAAGCTGGGAGAGTTATCTCTTATCAACGCACAGAATTTCTAGAGACCATCTTTACTGCAAATGTTGTAAACAATTTGGTGGCTGGCTTAGTGTCTTTAACCCTGTGGAAATCATCGATTTTGGTGAACAGATATAAGAATATATTGGAAACGTACAGATCAGTTAAGGATAGCATTTTAAATAGTATTTCATAACTTGAATAATCCTGAGGAATACCATGACTGAAACCCTCCATACGCATTGAGCAACTATTGTTCCTATGCAAACCATGGTGGTTTTATGAGAGATAGATATAGATATAGATATATATATATATATATATATATATATATATATATATATATATATATATATATATATATATATATATATATATATATATATATATATATATTTCAGTCGCAGTCTGCGCACATTAGCAGGAATATTGTTTTAAAAAAACTTTTGTTTTCTGCATAGGCTTTTCTACAAGGTCAATTAATAACCACCTTAATTTTTAACATATCATTAGGATATTTAGTTTTAGGTTCTTACTAAACACTACTTATTTTTTATTTTAAATACGGTCCATTTCAAAATGTATCAAATCTGTATATTTGAAACATATGCTGTATAGAGGGTTGATTTTAAGTATTTTAATCATTAACACTCCGTCAAATTTACTATTTAGTCCAACATTTTCTTTAATTTCTGATTCTGGCTTTTCTCTTGTAAAAGACAATGTATGTGGCTATGTATTGTATGTGTCCTTGTACTTATATAAGCCATTCCAAATACATAACATATCATTCAATTAACTTTACCTGGTCGTTGGGTGTGTGGTTATTTTGTAGGGTTTTTGTTTTGTTTCAATCCTGGCATCAAATTGTATTTGTTTCTATTGCTATTTTGTATTTTTATTTTTTTCTCAACCATAATATGTCATGTGCAATGATTGAAGTTATTGAGGGACAAATGTGGACTTAGTTCAAATTTTCAGAATTTGTCTTCTATTTATAACACATTAGATAAAGAATAAAAAAAAGTGCACATATCTGATTGACAGCCTGGAAATGTATGTAAGGGGATTTATAGACTTGCTTATTTCTCGGTTTGTTTGCATTTTTTTTTGACAATCTTTATTTTTCAGTTTTTCTGAAAAAATAGTGTAACATTGGTCAGTCTGGTAAGGTACATTTAGTCAGATTGAACAACTTGACTAGGTTTTGCTCCAGCAGCAACATAGACCCGTCTGTGGATTTCCTCTATTGAACCCCCTGGCTGTCATGGCTTTCACCTACAGGTACTTAGCGCTCTTACGGAGCTAGGACTGGGTCCAGGTCTTTGCAACGACTGTCACCTCGGGTTCTGTCTGATCAAGACTGCGATTTTAGCTGTCCGTGTATCATACGCTATCCCTTGGACACTCCCCCGGCTTCTGTCGTATCCCTCGGGTGTTATCTCTTAGGTGTATAACGCTACTTAGGATGCTATATGTACCATTGGACCCAGTTATTTCGTTCACGGTTCCCTGGTTGGGGTCTGTCGACCTAGGCTAAATCGTTCCTACTGCAGACCGTGGTGCTAAGTGACGGGCTAGTCGTCTGGGGGGTTGCCTATGTGTCGCAGGTACGGGGGGAGCTTTTTTATACAACTTAGAGGCAGTCTACTAACTGTAGGTGCGGTGCTCTGGGTGTGGTGCGTGAGCTTTGGGGTCTCATCGTTTGTCCGGGGTCCAGTGTTCCCATATCTCAAACCTGTCTCTTCCGGTTGCGTTAGGTTGTCCGTCCTGGATTGCTCCAGGTCCCGGTAGGTTGTCCAGGTGGGTGTTATGTCTTTCTGGTGTCAGTTTTGGTCAGGGGGAAACCTGTCAGTTGTCTGTGTGTGGTATTTGGGTAGGTTGTGTCTGTGCCTATGGGGTGTAAGGTGCTTGTCGGGATGTTGTGTGCGTTTCAGCTAGGTTGGTTCGGGGGCCCTTGTTCTATCCGCCACGTATGTGGTCCATGGATACCAGGTCAATGCGCACCGATCCGGTCTCCCGTGGAGGTCGGCCGTCAGGGTTTCCATTGAGTATATGTCCTCCACTGCCGCCACCCATTGCCCCAAGGTGGGAGCTCTCGGCTGTTTCCACATCCTCGGGATGAGGGATTTGGCGGCATTGAGCAGCGGCAGCTCTAGAGATTTTTTGTATACTTTCAGAGGGCTTCGGGTGTGGTGCAGTAGCATCGTTAAGGGTGCCAGGGGTATATCTGCGCCTGTGATTTTGTTGATTTCTCATCTAATTTGTTCCCAGAAAGGGGTAATTACCGGGCATGACCACCATAAGTGGATATAGGTGCCAGGTTGAGTGCCACATCGCCAGCATGTGTCTGACATGGTTTCGTGCATGCGGTGCAGTGCGGGCATTCTGTACCAGCGTGTTAGCACTTTATAGTTTAATTCCTGAAATTTCAAGCTAATAGAGCATTTGTGCATAAGGGTGTAAATCTTGTCCCATTCTTGTGCTGTGAGTGTGTCTCTCCCGCATCTCTCTCCCAGTGGTCCTTGAACCTAAGCTCCACGTCTCTGTTCGTCTGGGCCAAGAGTAGTGTGTACAGGGTTGAGATACCCCTGGAGATGTGTGTGCGGTGCACACATAGGGTTTTGAAGTCAGTTAAGGGTCTGTGTAAGTGCCCCTTTCCCGATAGGGTTGAGTAATATGATTTTATTTGGCTGTATCTGAACTGTTCTAAGAATGTAGGTGTTCTGTCGGGGCATAGTTCCCCGAGTGTTTTGAGACCGTTGGTACTGAACCACTGGTGGTTATGTATGAGAGGGGTCAGGGGGCTGGGTGAAGTGTTAAGTTGTAGGCGATATCGGATAGCCATCCAGACCCTCAGGGTGGCGTCTATTAAGGGATTTTGGGTTTGTAGGTCTGCGTATGAAGCCGTGTGTAGCCATAATGTGGGGGGTATGCGTCCTCCCGACTGTTATAATTCTATTGTAACCCATTGTTTTGTGGGATGTTGCGCATGCCAGTCTGTGAACCTGTGTAAGTGTGCGGCCCTGTAGTACGTCTCTATTGAGGGCATGCTGGCTCCCCCCAACGGTTTTGGCAGTTCCAAAGTGGTTCTCTTGATGCGCATTGGGTGCGAGTTCCAGACAAATCCGCGGATGGCGGTCGTCAGGGAGCTAAAAAACGCTCTGGAATAGGTAGAGCAGCCTGGGTAGTAGGTTCATTTTGACTGCGTTAATGTGTCCGAACCAAGATATATATTGTGGGGCCCATTTTCTCATATCTGCCTGGATTGTTTGTAGCAGCGGGTGGTAATATTGGTAGTACAGTTGGGTCATGTCTTTAGGTAGCCATATGCCCAGGTATTTCAATTTAGTGGGGCATCACTTGAAGCGAAATTGGGTATGTAGCGTCGGGGAGGGGTCCTGAGGGCCTGGTAGGTGAAGAGCCTCAGACTTATCTGTGTTGAGCTTAAGGTTAGATATCGAGCCAAATCTTCGGAATGCAGCCAGAAGATTAGGCAGTGAGATCCGCGGTTGGGTGAGGAAAAACAACATGTCATCTGCGTATGCGGCTACCCAATATTCTCGTCGGCCAACGGTGAATCCCGCCTTGCCCCCGTCCCGTCGGACCGCCCCCAGGAAGGGTTCCAGGGAGAGGGCAAACAGGAGGGGGGGCAGCGGGCAACCCTGGCAGGTTCCGTTCCATATGGGGAAGGGGGTGGACAGGGCTCCGTTCACCCGTATCCGAGCTTTTGGGCTCGTATACAGGGAGAGGACCCATGACCGCATATGAGGGCCGAATCCCAAGTGTATGAGTGTCTCCTCCAGATACACCCAGTCCACTCGGTCGAAAGCCTTCTCGGCATCTGTCGACAGAAGGAGAAGCTCCCGGTGTTGCGACCTTGCCACTTGCAGAATGTTTAGGGCTTTGATGGTGTTGTCCGTTCCTTCCCTTTCAGGTACGAACCCGACCTGGTCCGAGTTCACCAGGTGTGGTAGGTGCTTTGCGATTTGCAGGGCTAGTGTCTTGGCGAACAATTTGAGGTCCGCATTGAGCAGGGATATGGGACAGTAGCTTGCGCAGTTCGCTGGGTCCTTGCCTTCCTTGGGTATTACCGCGACTATGGCCGTTAAGGAGTCGGTGGGGAACTTCTCCCCGTCTCGAAGCAAGCAGAGACCTTGTAGAAGGTACGGCAGTAAGATGTCGCGGAATATACGTAAGTAGGCTAGTGGGAGGCCGTCTGGGCCGGGAGCCCTATTGGATTTGGAAAGTTTTAATGCAGCCGCTAGCTCTTCTATCGTGAGGGGTTGTTCTAGTTCCTCCAACATTTCAGGTGTAAGTTGTCGTTCTACATTTTGGTCTAGGTACTCCGATATTAGGTGACGGCGTTGGGCTTGTGCGGTGGCTGTTGTGGGTTTGGGGATGTTATATAAGTCTGTGTAGTAGTCCACGAAGGCCCTCTGGATTCCGTCAGGCATACTTGTCTCAGTCTTGTCTCTTGTTTTAATTTTGTGTATGTGGTTCGCCCTTCGTCTGTCCTGAAGCTGGCGGGCTAAAAGCCTGCCGCTCTTGTTGGAGTACTCGAAGAAGTATCGAGCTGACTTTCTAAGGGTGCGCAAAAGTCCCTTGGCTAGTATGTCCCGCCTTTGCCTCCTAAGCTCCGTCAGTTGATGAAATTCGTCCTCCCCCTGATTTTGTTTGTGTGCCTGCTCTAATGTAGCGATTTGTTCGTTTAGGGTGGACAATTGTTGCGTGCTTTCTTTTTTGCGCTGTGAGCATATTTTGATATAGTGGCCCCGGATGACGCATTTATGTGCCTCCCATACGGTTAGGGGGGGAGTGTCTGGTGTGTTATTGGTATCAAAGTATTGTGTCAGTGCTTGCCTGGCTTGTTCCTTGTCCGCTAGGTCGAGCAATAGGTTTTCATTTAACTTCCATTGCCGTTCAGTGGGTTTATGTAGGGGGAACTGGATTTGTACTGTTGTGGGGGCGTGGTCTGAGTCTGCTATAAGTCCTATGTTCGCTCGTTGGAGTAGTGTGAGGGCCTCTTGTGCCATTAGGATGTAGTCTATTCGGCTGTAACGCCGGTGCACAGCCGAATAGAAGGTGTAATCTCTGCCCTCGGGGTGTGCCACTCTCCAACAGTCGGCCAAGTCACACCGGGCTAAAGCCCTCCCTGTTGTGTGTACGCAGTGACCTGGTATCGAAGTTTCTCCCCTGGATGTATCTATTCTAGGGTCAAGGGGTGTGTTGAGATCTCCCGCCACAATCAGAAGGCCGTCTCTGAATTTGTTTAGTAAGGCTAGCGTCTTAGTTAGGAAGACGTGTTGGCGTCGATTAGGGGAGTACAGGCAGGCAAATGTGTAGGTGGTCTGTGCAATTGTTCCCTTGATAAATATGTATCTACGCCCCGGGTCTGACTTCTGCTCCGTGCAGACGAATGGGACTGCACTGGAGATCAGGATTGCTACTCCGGCCTTCTTCCCTTCTGGGTGGTTGGCATAAAATCCTATGGAGAAGCGCCCGTTTCTCACGGTCGGCGCCTCTGTGCCCTGAAGATGAGTTTCCTGTAGAAACGCCACTGAGGCGCGCTCTGCCCACAGTGTGCGAAGTAGTTGGGACCTCTTTTCGGGAATGTTTAGGCCTCTTACATTATTGGACCACAGGGTCAGCGGACTCGGCTTATAGTTAGAGCCCATTGCTATAGGCAGTGTGTGTCAGTGGGTATAGGTAGTGGGTATAGGGGTAGGCCGGTCCGGTGTCCGGGGAAGGGGAAAGTCTGTCCGAGAGTTAGGCAACTGTGACTCGCCTCGGTTTTTTGTAGCCCTCCGGTGTCTGTTCCCCTAGGGGTGAGTCACCTCGGTGGCCTCCGAGTGTATATACAACGTGAGTCCGTTACTTGGGGTATGGGGTCCTTCTAGTCTGGGTCGTTTGGTTATGTCGTGTCAAGCCCTTCCCTGGGCTCCCAGCTCACCTGTTGTGTCGGTTTGCAAATCTGTCCGAGCATGTTACCGTCCCAGGGACCCCACCCGCCATCGTCGCCCCTCCACATGGCGGCCCACATGTGGATTATCCGGCTTGGGCCCCAGGTCTAACTCTAGTTTGTTGCTGTGGCTACATAACCTTTACAACGCCTACAATTGTTTGCAAGCATAAAAAACAAAACAAAAACGATATAACAAACATTATAGACAGTTGCAAAACGAGGCCCCCCATTCTCCCCCCCCCCCCAAGGAGTCTTCCCGAACCCCTCTTTGGCGGCGTCGTTTCATGCCTGGAACGCTCTCGGCTGTCTGGGAGGTGCTAGAATCCGTGTTAACGGTCGCACCCCGCCTGGCTAGGGCTTTGGGAGATCACTCCAACAGTGGTGGGTGCAACCTTGGATGGTGGCAGCCCCCCCCACCCAAAGGTAGCTAGTGTACCCGGGCCGAGGGAGTCCCTGCGTGACATGTTCATGCAAAGTCTGTCCCGTGAGGGTCTCCTCCCCTGGTTGCATTTTTATGAAACCTTACAAAGTGTACATGCAGTTAACACCCTAAAGCAGGGGACTGGATTTACGTTTAATAGTGTATCCACGTTTCAAATGTAAGTGTTTTGATGAATATTCTCATGTTTAAATAATTATAATATTCTTATTTTCTAAAGCTGTTTAACTATTTCATGGCACATGCGCCCGGACGGTCATGTTATTGTAGGAATTGTCTGTACCCTTTTTCTGAAGGTGTTAAATAATCTTTTCTTTTACAATGGCAGAAAAATTATTCCAATGGTTACTCATATTACACCATGTGAACAATCACTTTATTTCAGTGATGATTGGATTACAGGAAAGTGGATTCGAGCCACAAACACAATTTAGGTCATTTTCATGATAAATCCATGTCACTTTGCTGTCAGAGCATGGTCTAATGTGCTGATGAAGTAATTTGTCATCCATCACAGTCTCGAAATGAACACATCATTACACTATAAATATTCCTCAACAGCTCTCCTGGCAATCATTATATTAATGGCAATGTTTCTTTTTATTTTCTAAGCTTTCCATTATGTTGGGAGCTGTGTAACAAGCGATTGGTGAATGTTAGGATTTCAATGTAACTTTTTTTTTTTTTTTTTCTCAGATTTAAAATATGATGATCTAACTCTTGTTTTCTGCAACAGGAGAAAG